TTCATAATATTTTTCAGTTCTCTTCTGTTGGCTCATTTTTCTACTACAGAATGAGAAAGTAGTGCTTTTTACTTATCAAACTGAAACTCTATCATAGGGCTTTGTAGAAATTCAATACTGTAATTTAATTATATTACCTTCAGCTCACTATGATTTATTGCATTCAATAAATTGCATTTATCGAACACCAGCCCTTTGCTGCATGCTGTCTAGGACACTTTTTATTTCATTTTATCTTTACAACCACCTGCAAGTTATAGATGTTATTTCCATTTTTTAGGTGAGGAAACTGAGGCTCAGAAAGTTTCCGACTTGCCCAGGTTCTCTTTTGTAATAATTGTGGTGTCAAGATTTGGAGTCCATGCTGCTGACCCCAGTGTACATGTTCATATGCAATCTCATGGGCCCCAAGAAAGAGAAAGAATCCTGGAGCTAACTGGTGGCCACCTTCAGGCTTTAGGACATCTTACTAAGCCTGTCTCCCATCTACAAAATGAAGACTCTGGAGTTGTACTTCTCGGGGTCTCAGGAACCCTGACAATGGGGATTAGCAAGCTTCCCCCACCCTGTAATTAAAGTACTTAGGAGTTTCCTTTGGGAAGACAATATTTGAATGAATAACAGAACAGAATTCTGCCTATGAAGCCGCCCCATAGGTGCGGTTCTGTTGGAATGATTAATGGTAGAGGGCAGAGTAAATCACCAGCTGGGATCCTGTTGATAACAAGCTTGCAGGAAACTCACTGAAGTCAATGTGTAAACACAGAGATGTGGGCAGAGATATACTGGGTGGTACCATTGGGACCAGGCCCAGGAAGTCGTCTCTTCTCTCTTTCCCCTTTCAGAGATGTGCCCTGGGGAAAGACAAATTTTATTTATTTATTTATTTATAGACAGAGTCTCTCTCTGTCATCCAGGCTGGAGTGCAGTGATGTGATCTTGGCTCACTGCAACCTCCGCCTCCCAGGTTCAAGCAACTCTCCTGTCTCAGTCTCCTGAGTAGCTGGGAGTACAAGCGCCTGCCACCACCCCTGGCTAATTTTTAGTAGAGATGGGGTTTCGCCATGTTGGCCAGGCTGGTCTCAAACTCCTGACCTCAGGTGATCTGGGGGAAAGATAAAATTTAAATGCTACTGTCTATTTTCAAATGACAAGAGAACAAACTTTTATTGTGTTTTGCAATTTGGAAAACTTATGGGGTCTGCAAATAAGAGGTTTGTCCCAACATCTAAGCATAAACATTAGCCTTTACTTTTTGGTAGAACATCCAAGAATACTGATGAAAAATTATTCCACTTCTTTACTTTGCAGCAGCCAAAGCTTCTACCCCAAACAGAATGTCCCCTGCTCTGGTTGAGTTTATAGTTTCTTCTTTTCTGTTTTGTATAAATTCCAACTTGTCAGAAATGCTTTCTCTCTGAACTTTTAAGTTTCCCTCCTTGCCAGGTAGGTTTGATCTGAGGTGATTATGAATAGATTAGATTCTCCCAAAAGTTTGTAAAAAACAAACAAAAAGTTACTTTGCAACAAAAACCAGGCTTCCATTCATGATTTTTCTGAGTCTGCAAAAATTTCTTTGGTACAAGCTGATCATTTAGGATATTTAAAATTGAATTTGAAAGCTTTTAACTACTGTTTATTAATTCATTCATTCACTCAGCATACCTGACTCCTGCTTTGTGACTTTTATCCTCCTGGCCCTGGTAAATTCCTGCCTCCTGGTGAGTTCTGCTGAGTAAAGTAGTGGCTGACTGTTCAGCTTGACCAAAAACAGACCTCTGGTTTTTTTTTTCCTTTTTCTATTTCTAATTTTCAGATTTGTAAGAAGACTACAAGAAGTGGTATATGTGACTAGACGCTGCTTTTCTACAATAATAGGGGATCTTTGAAATCCTTGGAAACTGTCCTGTTTTCTAAGTTGTGTCTTTTAAACACTTTTCCTGCAAGTCTTGTCTTCCTAAGTGTAGTATTAGCAAATAACAGTGGTTGTATTTCTCTTTCTCTCTGTGTGTGTGTCTGTGTGTCTTCAGAGCTTTCAAATATTTAAATAGTTTTATTAAGGTATAATTTATATATTATAAAATTTGTCCACTACAACTATGCAGTTTCGTGATTTTTAAAGTAATTTTACGCAGTGTGCAACCATCACCAGAATCCGGTTTGAGAACATTTTCGTCACTCCAAAAAGTTTCCTCATGCCCTTCAGTGATCAGTTTCCATTCCCACCCCTAGCTCTAGGCAACCATCATCCCCTTTCTGCCTCCATAAATTTGCCTTTTCTAGATGTTACATATAAATAGAATCAGATAGTATATGGTTTTTTGTTTCTGACTACTTTCATTGAGCATAATGTTTTTGAGGTTCATCTGTAAAGTATATGTTAATATCAGTTCCAGAGGGATTTAAAACAAATAAAAACAAAACTTTGAATTGTGACAAATTTCACAAATAGATGAGTGTACCTCACTCCCAGACTGAGAAATTATGAACTCGTGATCAGTCTTGTTCCCTCTTCCACTGACATCTTCCCACTCTTTTGGGTTATTTTGAAGCCAGTGTTATCACTTTATTTGTAAATATTTTAGCATATCATTTGTATTTATCTCATTCTTTTCTATAGCTAAGGAGCTAAATACTTAGAGAAAATGTGGCTACTTAGGTAAGGGGGAATATAAGAGAACTGAACACTAAATTAACTAAGATATACAAATGCATAAGTAATAACAAAGATATATATACATATATATGTATATATTTTTTACCTTGCTTAGATTTTGCTTTTATTCTGAATGCCAAGTTTTGTTTTGTTTTGTTTTTTTTTGAGACGGAGTTTCGCTCTTGTTCCCCAGGCTGGAGTGCAATGGCGCGATCTTGGCTCACTGTAACCTCCGCCCCCTGGGTTCAGGCAATTTTCCTGCCTCAGCCTCCTTAGTAGCTGGGATTACAGGCACACGCCACTGTGCCCAGCTAATTTTTTGTAATTTTTAGTAGAGATGGGGTTTCACCATGTTGACCAGGATGGTCTCAATCTGCCGACCTCGTGATCCACCCGCCTCGGCCTCCCAAAGTGCTGGGATTACAGGCTTGAGCCACCGCGCCCGGCCTTTTGTTTTGTTTTAAAGGTAGAGAGAGAGATATAGAGAATGATGTGAAGTTCTCTTGAAACCTGCTATGCAGAGAGGTGAATGCAAATAATTTCAAATTTGCTAATCTGACATTGTGACCAAGGTGAGAATACAATCTGGTCATTGTTTCTGTTGATTTGAGAGCCCAGTTTGCTATGGATTAGATGGAGTCTTTGAATTGAATAAGCAAGGAGAAATAAGCTCCTGAATAGCTTTATGGACCATTCATTAAGGTTTTTGTAATTTTTGTATATAGGGTATGTGCCAGCTTCTTTGCAGAAGTAAGCACAATTGGATAAAGATTTCTGCAGCAGATGCTTGAGGTTGGCTTTCTCAAGGCCCATTCCCAACCACTGTCTCCCTTGCCTTCCTCTATGGTTAAGACTGGAAATCTGAATGTTCAGTTTTTCTAACCACCTTCCAGCCAGGAGTGGTCATGTGATACAGTTTGGCCAAGCACAAGTCTGCTGGGAAAGGCCTCCCTTCCTGAATAAACAGACATATCTAAAATAGAAAAAGACTTTTCCTTCTTCCTGTCTGGACCTGGATGTAGAGCAGCCTTTTTGAAATCGTGAGTTGACATAAGGATAAAAGCCGTCACATTAAGGCTGGCAAAATTCAGAAATAAAAGGAGCCTAGGTCCCTGAGGGTAATGGTAAACTGTCACCCACTGTAGACTGCCTTCCCCAGGACTTATTCATATGGGAAAAAAAGAAGCCTCTATTTTGTAAAGCTTGGTGAGTTTTTTGTTGTTGTTGTTGTTGTTATTTGCAGCTGATTACATGCTTTGCTGTTACTTATGCATTTGTCACCTTTTTGCCACTTCAGAGTACTGTCATGCCTGATGCTATTCTGGTCTAATCATGGACTTGAGGAATTTTAGGGATGGGAAGTCCTAGACATTATCTAGTTTAATGATTCCCAACCAGTGAGTAGGGTCACAGTGCTGGGGGGAAGGTGCTACTGGTATTTAGCAGCTGCAGGCCAGGAGTGCCAATAGCCTGTATTGTGTGAGACAGTGCCGTAGCACAAAAGGTCCTGTTCACAATACCAGTTCATAATGCATGGTAAGAAACACTAGTCTACTCCCCTGATTCGGTCCTAGTCAGAGAGCAAGCCACCTAGGGCTCTTGAGACCCTGCTGCGGTGGCTTGGACAACCTACACACCTTCACTGTCCTCTTTCCCTGCTGCTCCTCAGTTTAGCCTGTCTTCCCTTTCAACTCTGTTATGATGCCCACTTTGATTCCTTAGGACTTCAGCATCAAAGCAGTATTCCAAGCAAAAGACAAATGCACTGCAAACCAAAGACCACTGGAGAAAAAAAGCATGAAATGCCCACTGAAATCCCGAAAGCCCCTATAAAATCGTACTCTGAAAAGTCTCCGAGGCATCTGGGCTTATAATTTGTTCACTGTCTCTCCAGATTCTATCACACCCCAGTTTTATGAGGCCTGGGCTTGGGGTGTTGTGAATGGTCACTTTTTCCACCTCTGGTAGCTCTTTCATCTTGCTCCAATTGATGGCCTTAATGCTTCTAGAGGAAGGAAGCAGAGGTTTCTGTCACCTAGACAGCTTCTGGTCCCTTTAGCAACCCAGGGGCTAAGTTCTAGAACTCTCAGCCCTGCCTCCCAGGAGAGAGCCAGAGATTATTCACTCTCCTTTTCTTCTTCCCCTTTACTCAGAGGTGGAATTCTAAGCAGAGAAGCTAGAGGCTGTGATATTCAACATAGAAATACTACCCTAAAGTTCCTGGCACCAAAAATATCACAGTTATAGGCAGCCTCTGGAAATGGAATGAATATACCATAGTTAGAAAAATGCATCAGGCTGCAGAATTTTCATCAGGCCCTCCTACTATGAATAATGTCATATGATATATTTTTTAAGTAATAAAACAATGCATTAAAAAAATGAATAGTAGGGGAATCGCGGATTGGGTGCAGACATGGCCAAGTCCAAGAACCACACCACACACAACCAGTCCCGAAAATGGCACAGAAATGGTATCAAGAAACCCCCATCACAAAGATACGAGTCTCTTAAGGGGGTGGACCCCAAGTTCCTGAGGAACATGCGCTTTGCCAAGAAGCACAACAAGAAGGGCCTAAAGAAGATGCAGGCCAACAATGCCAAGGCCATGAGTGCACGTGCCGAGGCCATCAAGGCCCTCGTAAAGCCCAAGGAGGTTAAGCCCAAAATCCCAAAGGGTGTCAGCCGCAAACTCGATCGACTTGCCTACATTGCCCACCCCAAGCTTGGGAAGTGTGCTTGTGCACGCATTGCCAAGGGGCTCAGGCTCTGCCCGCCAAAGGTCAAGGTCAAGGCCAAGGCCAAGGCCAAGGATCAAACCAAGGCCCAGGCTTCAGCTCCAGCTTCAGTTTCAGCTCAGGCTCTCAAAGGTGCCCAGGCCCCTACAAAGGCTTCAGAGTAGATATCTTTGTCTGCCAATGTGAGGACAGAAGGACTGGTGTGACCCCCTCCCCGGGGCTGCCATCTGCATGGGGCTGGGGTCCTCCTGTGCTATTTGTACAAATAAACCTGAGGCAGGATTAAAAAAAAAAAAAAAAAAGAATAGTAACTAGAATTGAAAAAGTCCTGGCTCTATCACTAGATGTGTCTTCGTCAGTAAGCCATTGAATTTCTGAGAGCTCTCAGAAATCCTGCAATGGGGGAAGAGCCTAAACACCCCGCTCCCAGGTCCCTAATCTCCCAGGAGATTAAAGGGACTGTGGGATAGGAAAGCACTTTGGAAATCGTAAATAGCTACAACAAAGTTAATTGCTATTCTCATTAGAGATGTGATGCTTTTAGTGGCTTTGATCATTAATAATAACTCACATCCAGGACTGTGCGCTGTAGTTTTAAGTTTCTGTTGATTCTTATTGTATTTTGATTTATTAGGTCCAACTTAATTTACTTCAGGCCAAGGCAGTAGATTGTGTGCTGAGTAAATAATAAAGATAATTGGGATGCACTTAACAGTCAGAAGGGAATTGTCCCCAGTTAGTCATTTGTTTTTCTAGCACAGAAAAAAAGCACAGTTCTTACTGTATCTGAAAGATATTTTGGTAGGAATGCTCATCAAGACTAAGCTTGCACTCGAGTCCCTTTCTTAGGAGTAGTTTTTGCCCGCATCATAATTTCAGAACATGAGATACTTGGAATGCTTTTCATCATTGAGGTTTACTTCTCTTTATATGGAACATAGTTTCTACCTGAAAAATCAAGACTTATAGTTAATTGTTTTCCCTTTTGGAAGCCTGAGGTTTGTTTCTAAGTATTTCCAGTGTTTTGTTCTTTAAGGAACACATGCTTATGAAAAAACACAAATACTTTGAGCAAAAAGTCTTCTGTGTCTCCCTTCTGCAAGTTGAGCTTGCAGATCAGAGTGGAGCTCTGGTCTATTTGCATTCGAGAGGGATGCCTTCTAGGCAAATACAGCATGCTAGATATGTCAGTATTGGGTTGCTTGGAACTCCTTAGGCTAAAGAAACATTCCTTTGAAGAGCTCGGTAGAGCTCCCAGCCACGAGGATGCCAGGCTTATTTGCAGCATGGCTTTTACTCTCTGTAATGAATCCGCAGGGCATCTCTCTGGAAAGAAGCAAAATATAGCAAACTGCCTGTTGATTGTGATTCTACAGTATTTTTGCATTGAAGAAAATTGCTTACTTCAGACACCTGGGGAGGGGCTTTTTGGGTAGCATTCACGTGGAGATCCTTGAAAATATTGTTTTTTACACCAAAATGAATGGGTGTTTTGTGGTTGTGTGATTCAGTAACTATGATTCTTCTTATTTTATTTATTTGTCCTTTAGAAGGTATCGTGGTGCTATGTCTCTGTTATAAGGAGTTATCTTAAAAAAAAAAAAAAAAAAGGCAGTGACTTGAAATGAGTGGTAGGAATAACAGTATGTCCCACCTCATCACCACCCCACAGGACTAATGTGTTCTTTTAATGGGTCTGGTTTGTGTGGATGGTTTCACCTTCGTTGGTTTCCAGCTGAAAGTGCTGGTGGGCAGTTGCTGCAGATGATTAACACAACTACCTAGCTGCCCATATTCTTATTAACATTAAATTACCCTTGTCTTAAATCTCTTTTTATTCAATTTCTTTCATTGATTGTTAGATGTTTTTACCTTTTTCCCCCAAGGTCTACCATATTTCTTCACAGCACCCATGGTAATTATTAGGATAGTAGGCATATCTGGGGTTTACAGTGCTTGTTTACTTGAAAAAGATTTTTTCAGTTTCAGGTATATAGTTACTTCAAATAATGTAACACTACCATAATTAATGTAACTATAATAAAATAACCTAACTGTAATTATCTCATGCAGAATAATCATTTGAACATTCCAAAAGAGATATAAAGAGAGTTCGACTGGGCGTGGTGTCTCACATCTGTAATTCTAGGACTTTGGGAGGCTGAGGCAGATGGATCACTTGAGCCCAGGGATTCAAGACCAGCCTGGGCAGCATGGTGAAACTTTATTAAAGAAACCTGGCAAAACTTTATTATTTAAAAAAAAAAAAAAAAAAGATAAAAGGGAAATAGGCCCAAATCCCTATCTACCAAAAGTTTTACAGCCTAGTCTTATTTATTTTTTAGAAAAGTCTGGGCTGATGAATACTTTTTTAAAAGTCAGCTTTTAGGCCGGGCGCGGTGGCTCAAGCCTGTAATCCCAGCACTTTGGGAGGCCGAGGCAGGTGGATCACGAGGTTAAGAGATCGAGACCATCCTGGTCAACATGGTGAAACCCCGTCTCTACTAAAAATACAAAAAATTAGCTGGGCATGGTGGCGCGTGCCTGTAATCCCAGCTACTTGGGAGGCTGAGGCAGGAGAATTGCCTGAACCCAGGAGGTGGAGGTTGCGGTGAGCTGGGATCGCGCCATTGCACTCCAGCCTGGGTAACAAGAGTGAAACTCTGTCTCAAAAAAAAAAAAAAATCAGCTTTTAAAGCATATGCAGATTTGATCCTTGCTTTCCTTACTTGACAGGACCCCCCTTTTGGAGCTTTTGGCTATCGTCGAGAAAATATAGCAATTAAAAACCATTATGATAATAGTTACAGAAATGTAGTACTTACAGTGTGGCAGGTACTATTCTATGTGTTGTTTATGTTAATTGATTTAATTTAAAAATACAGAGATCTTCACATAAGGTATGACAGGATAAATTTTATTCCACTAAAGGGAGTAGGGTGTGGAGGTGGGGGTTGTCTGGTTCTAACAGGATTTCCCCTGTCCTTTGCTGCTGCTCCTGTTTTATATAACTCTGGGCTGTAACCCCTCCACCACACCTTCTGCACCCTCCTCATAGTGCTGTGGGAACTCTTCCAATGTCTCTTTCATCCTGCAGACAGCAGGGTTCTTGACTTGGACTCATACAGTTCTTACAGGCGGAATCAGAGGCATTCTGCAGAAGCTATAGTTTCACTGAGATTGGTAATTGGACAAAACTACTGAACTCTCAGGCTGTGACGAGCTTTTTGCATTAGACTAGTGGGTGGGTCTGATGCTCTTTGGCTGCTGGGACACTCAAGGAAGGATTGGAAGAGAAGGACAAGGAGAGTCCTCAGAAATGGGGTCCTACTGCTTATAAGGTTGTGCATGCTCTCTTAGGAAGTCATGTAGATTAGGCCAGTACCTAATGTTCCCTCTACATGGCAGAGAGAGGACAGAAAGCCATTAGAGGAGAGAAGGCTATTGGTCTGGGTGTTTATTTTATGCCTGCTGCATCTCTAACAGCTCCTGGGCTTTGGAAGGAGAGTTTTGGGTGCTCTGGACGGAGTGTGGGTTTCTGAGTCAGAGGGAACTTGAGGTTGGCCCCTTATGCTGCTGCTTACTACTTGTGTAGATGTGGGCAAATTATCTAATCCCCTGCATTCTTCATCTTTTCATCAAATTCAACAAATATTAAGTGCCTGCTATATGTGGCTGATATAGTCTTGAACAAAACAATTACTGCTCTCAAGGAACTAGAGAGGGTGCCAAACAGTAAACAAAATGAATAAATACACTATATAGATAGCAATAAATGCTAAGACTGCAATTTTAAATAGGGTAGTCAGAGAAGGCATCACTGATTAGGTAACATTTGTGCAAACACCTGCAGGACCTAAGGGAGAAGGCTGTTCAGCTAGCTGGTGATAAGAGCATTCCTTGTGGAGGGACCCTAGTGCAGAGGCCTTGAGGCAGCGGTGTGCCTGGTATGCTGGAAGAGAAGCAAGGAGGCTGGTGTGGCCGGAGCAGAGTGAGCAGGGGAGCAGCAGGTGATGTGATCAGAGAGGCAAGTGGGCAGTAGATGGTGGAGTACTTTGAAGACCATTGTACAAACCTGGGCACTTACTCTGGGTAAAATGAGACAGTGGTGGTGGGAGAGAGGGTGCTTGAGTACGAAAGTGACATGGTTTGACTCGAGGTTTAAAGGATCACCTTGGCAGTTGTATTGAGATAGTGTGGGGAGGGGAAAGGAAGGACAGAAACAGAAAGACCAAGCATGGGGCTGTTGAGCATCCAGGTGAAAGGTGATGGAGGCCTGCATCAAGATGGCAGTTGTAAACAAGGGAGAATGGTCGTATCCATTTAATAATAACCAGCTGATGGGATGCTGTGAGGTTAAATAGGAAGCATAGGGAACGTGGGCTTGTAGGCTCTTCAGAGAGGGTAGCTGCTGCTCTGATTATTAAGACGTTTGTTGTAGGACAGACTCTCTCTTTTTTGTAGTCAGGGTCTCACTCTATTGCCCAGCTGGAGTGCAGTGGCACAATCATAGCTCTCTGCAGTCTTGAACTCCTGGGCTCAAGAGATCCTCTGCCTCAACTTCTTGAGTAGCTTGGATACAGATATGTGCTACCATGCCTGGCTAAATTAAACAAAAATTATAGCAACGTGGCCTCGCTATACTGACCAGGCTGGTCTCAAACTCCTGGACTCAAGCAATTCTCCTGCCTTGGCCTCCCAAAGTACTAGGATTATAAGTGTGAGCTACTGTGCCTGGCTGAAGGACAGTCTTGAAGTAAAGGAAACAAATTGGGGATTTGCCCATCCAGTCTGCAGCAGCAGTGTGGGGAATAGAACTCAGACCTTCTGGCTTTAAACCAAATAGAAGGCCTCCTGCCTTTCCCTTTAATAAAAATCTAAATCACTGTGAAATCACAGCTTGGAAATGCTCAATTAAATCGTGTGCATGTCACAGAGCTTCTGATATCACAGCTTCTTTTTTTGGCTTCACCTTATACCATGTGAGCTTGAAGTATAAAGCAGCGAGCTTGATTTCCATGAGTCACACAGGTGTCCACAGGTAAGTTTTGCAGCTGATTGGCCCATTAGTCCATTGTAAGTTAGCCTTTATGGTTTTAGTTTCCCTTTGTGTCCTCCCCTTGCCCTTTCTTCTCTGCAGGCAGAGTGGGTCTAACCCTAACCACCCTGGCGCTATGTTGGCTCTCCATTTCCTTACCCAACATCTGTATTTCTGCCTTCTCCAGGGGCTGTCCTCCCGTATGCTCTATCTGTGCAATTTCAGCACTTGCCACCCATCCTGAAGTTCTTAGAGATTGAATAGTTGGAAAATAAACAGTGGAGGGATCATTGTATTTGCATATTTTAGTGTTCTTAAAAGATACAGGATTTCTGTTGAGAGTAAGGGATCACTACAGGAAACAGCAACCCCTCTAGGCATTTTAAGCAGAAGGAGACAGAATTGAGTGCTCACAGAATCACTGGCAGGGCTGAGCCCTCAGAGCAACTCCCAGAAGAGTGAAGATCTGGTCCTCCGGCAGGGCCACTAACCCACAGGACATTAACTGGAGGTGTAGGTTTAAGAAACCACTCCTTACTGGGTTTCAGAGTTGAGGAAGCCTCAATGGAGAAGAGGCTGTCACTACAGTGCCTTCTGACATTCAAGAGAGTGGCCCTAGAGTGTGACTACAGAAAACCCACCCATTTGGTGCAGCCATTATGGAAAGCCATATGGAGGTTCCTCAGAAAATTCAAAATAGAACTGCATTGTGATCCAGCATGTATGTATCCAAAGGAAATGAAATCACTGTCCTGAAGCGATATCAGCAGGCCATGTTTGTTGCAGCTTTACCAGTAGCCAAGATGCAATAGCAATAGCCAAGATGTGATAGCAATAGCCAAGATGCGAAAGTAACCTGTGTGCACTGATGGATGACTGAATGAAGGAAATGAACCCCAATGGAACCTTAATAAAGGCGAACCTGCCATTTGCGAAAACATGGATGAACCTGCCAAGACGTTATGCTAAACAGAATAAGTCAGTCACAGAAAGACACATACTGCATAATCCCACTTAAATGTGGAATCTTAAAAAGTCAAACTCATGGAGACAGAGTAGGAAGGTAGTTACCGGAAGGGCTGGGGGAGGGTGGTAGAAGCAATGGGGAGATGTTAGTCAAAGGGTACAAACTTTCAGATATAAGATGAATACGTTCTAGAGATCCAATATATAGGATGGTGACTACAGTTACTAATAGTGCATTATACTTGAAAATTGTGAGGAGAGATCTTCAGTATTCTCACCACATACAAAAGTCACTGAAGTGATGGATGTGTTAATTAGCCTGATTGTGGTAATCATTTAGCAATGTATGCATATATCAAAACATGATGTTTGGCTTAAATTTATACAATTTATTTATTTTTATTTTTTGAGATGGAGTCTTGCTGTCACCCAGGCTGGAGTGCAGTGGCACGATCTCAGCTCACTGCAGCCTCCACCTCCTGGGTTCAAGCAAGTCTCCTGCTTCAGCCTCCCGATTAGCTGGGGTTACAGGCATGCATTACCATGCCTGGCTAATTTTTGTATTTTTAGTAGAGATGGGGTTTTACCATGTTGGCCAGGCTGCTCTCAAACTCCTAACCTCAAGCCATCAGCCCGCCTCAGCCTCCCAAAGTGCTGGGATTACAGGTGTGAGCCACCATGCCCGGCCTAAATTTATACAATTTTAATTTGTCAGTTATACCTCAATGAAGCTGGACAAAACAAAACAAAAACCCACCTCGCATTCCACAGCTTGCTTGCTAGCCAGAAACTGTCCAGAGAAGGCCTCTGCTTCACTTCCTCCTTCCTAATTTTGCACAGGTGACTCTAGTTGGTTCACATCCTGATCTCTAGCTGCAAGGTGTGGAGTTTGAAAAATGTAGTGTTTAACCTTCTGTCCTCTCCAACTAGGAGACAGATGAGGTAAGATTTAAAAAGCCAGTCCCTAGTCTTTATCACCTCATGCTCGTCTGTGGTGAATACTGCAGGGGCCTCTCATTCCAGGTATGTTGGTATTGACCAGTGGTGAGAAGATTCCATGTGCAATATAAATAAGACTCTTTGCTAAACACTGAATCCAACTGTCAACATTTTCCAAGCTTATCTCTAGTACAATACTGTGTGCTTTGTAACAGGGTTACTTTTATTAAAAATTAATGTTGTGATGTCCACCTCTGATATCTGTAAAATAAACAAAGTGGGCCCCAATCACTAACCGGTAGATTTTGGTTTGTTTATCTTTGAAGAAAACAATGAGTCTGGATTTCTGTTGAACACAGAATGTTTTTTATGGTTCATATCATTACATAAGAAGACTGGGCGAGTTGCATTATTTATATAAAAATATATACTCAATGTTTGGTAGGAACAGCAATTTTAGCATACTCTTCACTATAAAAATACGCAGGAGTGTATGTTAGATACAGGTAAATAGCAAGGAAAACACAAACTGGCATCAACTCTGGTCTTACCAGTCTGATTTCTCTGGAGTGCAGAATTACCCATTTCTTGCAGCTCTGTGTTAAGCATGTTCTGTAAAAGTTAATCAAATTTCTTTAACCTTTAGCTGATAAAGCAGCAGGGAATTAAGGTAGCCTAATTAGTTTGGGAACTAAATCAGACAGAACAGAACAGAGCACAAGGTAGGATAAATGGATGTTTGGTGGCCTCATCGGAAGAAATAGGTTACCTTTGATATTATGGTAATTCTTTGTCATTCATGGGGTTCCTGAGAAGTGCCCTTGCTGATAAAAACTAAAATTGGCAAATCAGTGTCTTTTTGAAAATTCGGAGTTGGGATAAAATTAAGTAGCACATACACATCTAATCCTACTTCACATATACACACATATATTATAAAATAGATATAGTAATGTTCCAAAGATATTTGCTTCCAAAACAGACTATATTCCTTGGTAATTCTTTCAAATCATTTTCTTTTATTGTTCAGGAAACTTTCCTGCAGCTGTGTCCTAGACTGATCCAGCTGCCAGTTTTATGCAGCCTATACTCTCCCCCCAAGTTTGATTATGAAAATTTTTATACATACAGCAAAGCTGAAAGAATTTTACAGTAAACACCGGTATACTTACCACCTGCATAATTTCTATATTTTATAGGGAGGGAGCAGCGAGAGTTTTAACTCTTGAGTTATTTCCTCCTCTGGAATGTTTGATCTTTGACTCTGATATAGGATTGGCTACTTGGTCCACAACTCTGAGTTAGAGCCCCCTCCTCCCAAAGCTTTCATCAGGCTTTTTGGACAAAGGAGCCCACCAGGATTTCTCTACCTAGCCCACTCAGGGAAATCCAAAGAATTTTATGTTCCCAGATGGAGGTGTGGAGCCAGGAAACTCCTGCCTTTGAAACTGCCCCTCTATGGACCCAGGAAGAGAAGTTTTTCTTTAACACAGTCCCTCAGTCCTTTATCTCCCTGAGTCCCTAAAGTCCATTGTATTATTATTATTATTATTATTATTATTATTATGTCTTTGTATCCTTAGCTCCCACTTACAAGTGAGAACATAGGATATTTGGTTTTCCATTCCTGAGTTGCTTCACTTAGAATAATGGGCTCCTACTCCATCCGGGTTGCTGAGAATGCCATTGTTTAATTTCTTACTCAGCCATAAAAGGGAACAAAATAATGACATTCGCAGCAACTGGTATGAAGTTGCATTCAGTATTTTATGGCCAAGTAGTATTCAACCATAAAAAGGAACGAAATAATATGGTGTATATACCACATTTTCTTTATCCACTTGTTGGCTGATGGGCATTTAGCCTGGTTTCATATCTTTGCAGTTGCAAATTGTGCTGCTATAAACATGCATATGCATGTGTCTTTTTCATATAATGACTTCTCTTTCTTTGGGTAAATACCCACTAGTGGGATTGCTGGATCAAATAGTAGTTCAACTTTTATTTCTTGAAAGAATCTCCACACTGTTTTCCATAGTGGTTATACTAGTTTACTTTCTACCAGCAGTGTAAAAATGTTCTCTTTTCTTCACATTCATGCCAACATCTATGATTTTTTAAATTTTTAAATTATGGTCATTATTGCAGGAGTAAGGTGGCATCTCATTATGGTTTTAATTTGCATTTCCCTGCTAATTAGTGATGTTGAGTCTGCTTTATTTATTATTATTTTTAAATTATATTTTAGGTTTTGGGGTACATGTGAAGAATATGCAAGATTGTTGCATAGGTACACATGGCAGTGTTATTTGCTGCCTTCCTCCCCAATACCTATATCTGGCATTTCTTCCCATGCTATCTCTCCCCAACTCCCCACCCACCACTATCCCTCCCCTATTACCCCCGACAGACCCCAGTGTGTGATGCTCCTCTCCCTGTGTCCATGTGTTCTCATTGTTCAACACCCACATATGAGTGAGAAAATGCAGTGTTTGATTTTCTGTTCTTGTGTCAGTTTGCTGAGAATGATAGTTTCCAGGTTCATCCATGTCCCTACAGAGGACACAAACTCATCATTTTTGATGGTTGCATGATATTCCATGGTGTATATGTGCCATATTTTCCCTGTCCAATCTATTATCAGTGGGCATTTGGGTTGGTTCCAGGTCTTTGCTATTGTAAACTGTGCTGCAATGAACATTTGCATGCATGTGTCCTTATAGTAGAATGATGTATAATCCTTTGGATATATACCCAGTAATGGGATTGCTGGGTCAAATGGAATTTCTATTTCTAGGTCCTTAAGGATTCGCCACACGTCTTCCACAATGGTTGAACTAATTTACACTCCCACCAGCAGTGTAAAAGTGTTCCTATTTCTCCATATCCTCTCCAGCATCTGTTGTCTCCAGATTTTTTAATGATCGACATTGTAACTGGCATGAGATGGGATGGTATCTCAATGTAGTTTTGATTTGCATTTCTCTAATGACCAGTGATTATGAGCATTTTTTTTATATGTTTGTTAGCCTATGTATGTCTTCTTTTGTAAAGTGTCTGTTCATATCCTTTGCCCATTTTTGAATGGGTTTTTTTTTTTTTTCTTGTAAATCTGTTTTAGTTCTTTGTAAATTCTGTATATCAGCCGATTGTCAGATGGGTAAACTGCAAAAATTTTTTCCCATTCTCTTGGTTGCCAATTCACTCTAATGACTGTGTTTCTTTTGCTGTGCAGAAGCTGTGGAGTTTAATTAGGTCCCATTTGTCTATTTTGGCTTTTGTTGCCAATGCTTTTGGTGTTTTGGTCATGAAGTCCTTGCCTATGCCTATGTCCTGAATGGTTTTGCCTAGATTTTCTTCTAGGGTTTTTATGGTGTTAGGTCTTATGTTTAAGTCTTTAATCCATCTGGAGTTAATTTTAGTGTAAGGTGTCAGGAAGGGGTCCAGTTCCTGCTTTCTGCACATGGCTAGCCAGTTTTCCCAACACCATTTATTAAATAGGGAATCCTTTCCCCATTGCTTGTTTTTGTCAGATTTGTCAAAGATCGGATGGTTGTAGATGTGTGGTGTTGCCTCTGATGCCTCTGTTCTGTTCCATTGGTCTATATCTCTGTTTTTGTACCAGTACCATGCTGTTTTGATTACTGTAGCCTTGTAGTATAGTTTGAAGTCCGGTAGTGTGATGCCTCCTGCTTTGTTCTTTTTGCTTGGAATTGACTTGGCTATGTGGGCTCTCTTTTGGTTCCATATGAAGTTTAAGGTGTTTTTTTTCAGTTCTGTGAAGAAGGTCATTGTTAACTTGATGGGGATAGCATTGAATCTGTAAATTACTTTGGGCAGTATGGCCATTCTCACAATACTGATTCTTCCTAACCATGAACATGGAATGTTTCTCCATCTGTCAGTCCCCTCTTATTTCGTTGAGCATTGGTTTATAGTTCTCCTTGAAGAGGTCCTTTACGTTCCTTGTTAGTTGTATTCCTAGGTATTTTATTCTCTTTGTAGCAATTGTGAATGGCAGTTCGTTCTTGATTTGGCTCTCTTTAAGTCTGTTATTGGTGTATAGGAATGCTTGTGATTTTTGCACATTGATTTTGTATCCTGAGACTTTGCTGAAGTTACTTATCAGTTTCAGGAGATTTTGGGCTGAGACAATGGGGTCTTCTAGACATACAATCATGTCGTCTGCAAATGGAGACAATTTGACTTCCTCCTTTCCTATTTGAATACCCTTTATTTCTTTTTCTTGCCTGATTGCTGTGGCTAGAACTTCCAATATTATATTGAATAGGAGTGGTGAGAGAGGGCATTCTTGTCTAGTGCCAGATTTCAAAGGGAATGCTTCCAGTTTTTGCCCATTCAGTATGATATTGGCTCTTGGTTTGTCATAAATAGCTTTTATTATTTTGAGATATGTCCCATCAATACCTAGTTTATTGAGGGTTTTTAGCATAAAGGGCTGTTGAATTTTGTCAAAGGCCTTCTCTGCATCCATTGAGAGATAATCATGTGGTTTTTGTCTTTGGTTCTGTTTATGTGGTGAATTACGTTAATAGACTTGCGTATGTTGAACCAGCCTTGCATCCCCGGGATGAATCCTACTTGATCCTGGTGGATAAGCTTTTTGATGTGCTGTTGCAATCAGTTTGACAGTATTTTATTGAAGATTTTTGCATCTATCTTCATCATGGATATTGGCCTGAAGTTTTCTTTTCTTGCTGATTCTCTGCCGGGTTTTGGTATCAGGATGATGTTGGTCTCATAAAATGATTTGGGAAGGATTCCCTCTTTTTGGATTGTTTGGAATAGTTTCAGAAGTAATGGTACCAGCTCTTCTTTGTATGTCTGGTAGAATTCGGCTGTGAACCCATCTGTACCTGGGCTTTTTTTGGGTGGTAGGATCTTAATTGCTGCCTCAACTTCAGACCTTGTTATTGGTCTGTTCAGGGTTTCAGCTTCTTCCTGGTTTAGACTTGGGAGGAGGCAAGTGTCCAGGAATTTATCCATTTCTTCCAAGTTTACTAGTTTATGTACATAGAGTTGTTTGTAATATTCTCTGATGATGGTTTGAATTTCTGTGGAATCTGTGGTGATATCCCCTTTATCATTTTTTATTGCATCTATTTGATTATTCTCTTTTCTTTTTTTATTAATCTGGTTAGTGGACTGTTTATTTTGTTGATCTTTTCGAAAAACCAGCTCCTGGATTTACTGATTTTTTTGAAGGGGTTTTTTGTGTCTCTATCTCCTTCAGTTCTGCTCTGATCTTAGTTATTTCTTGTCTTCTGTTACATTTTGAGTTTTTTTGATCTTGCTCCTCTAGCTCTTTCAATTTTGATGGTAGGGTGTCAATTTTAGATCTCTCCTTGCTTCTCATGTGGACATTTATTGCTATATATTTTCCTCTAGAGACTGCTTTAAACGTGTTCCAGAGATTCTGGTATGTTGTGTGTTCATTCTTGTTGGTTTCGAAGAACATCTTTATTTTTGCCTTCATTTCATTGTTTATCCAGTCAACATTCAAGAGCCAGTTGTTCAGTTTCTATGAAGCAGTGCGGTTCTGAGTTAGTTTCTGAATTCTGAGTTCTAACTTGATTGCACTGTCATCTGAGAGACTGTTATGATTTCTGTTCTTTTGCATTTGCTGAGGAGTGATTTACTTCCAATTATGTGGTCAGTTTTAGAGTAGGTGTGATGTGGTGCTGAGAAGAATGTATATTCTGTGGATTTGGGGTGGAGAGTTCTGTAAATGTCTATTAGGTTTGCTTGTTCCAGGTCTGAGTTCATGTCCTGGATATCCTTGTTAATTTTCTGTCTCATCTGTCTAATATTGACAATGGGGTGTTGAAGTCTCCCATTATTATTGTGTGGAAGTCTAAGTCTCTTTGTAAGTCATTAAGAACTTGCCTTATGTATCTGGGTGCTCCTGTATTGGGTGCGTATATATTTAGGATCGTTAGCTCTTCTTGTTGCATTGATCCTTTTACCATTATGTAATATCCTTCTTTATCTCTTTTGATCTTTGTTGCTTTAAAGTCTATTTTATCAGAGACTAGGATTGCGACTCCTGCTTTTTCTTGCTCTTCATTTGCTTGGTAAATCTTCCTCCATCCCTTTATTTTGAGCCTTTGTGTATCCTTGCATGTGAGATGGGTTTCCTGGATACAGCACCCCAATGGGTTTTGGCTTTTTATCCAATTTGCCAGTCTGTGTCTTTTGATTGGTGCATTTAGCCCATTTACATTTAGGATTAATATTGTTATGTGTGAATTTGGTCCTGCCATTTTGATGCTAGCTGGCTGTTTTGCCCGTTAGTTGATGCAGTTTCTTCATTGTGTTTATGCTCTTTACCATTTGGTATGTTTGTGGATTGGCTGATACGGGTTGTTTCTTTCTATGTGTAGTGCCTCTTTCAGGAGCTCTTAAAGAAGGCCTGGTGGTGATGAAATCTCTGAGTACTTGCTGTTCGCAAAGGATGTAATTTTTCCTTCATTTATGAAGCTTAGTTTGACTGGATATGAAATTCTGGATATGAAGCTTAGTTTGACTGGAAAGCTCTTTTCTTTAAGGATGTTGAATATTGGCCCCCACTCTCTTCTGGCTTGCAGGGTTTCTGCTGAGAGATCTGCTATGAGTCTGATGGGCTTCCCTTTGTGGGTAACCCAACCTTTCTCTCTGGCTGCCCTTAGCATTTTCTCCTTCATTTCAGCCCTGGTGAATGTGACGATTATGTGCCTTGGGGTTGCTCTTCTTGAGGAATATCTTTGTGGTGTTCTCTGTATTTCCTGGACTCTGTATTGGCCTGCCTTGCTAGGTTGGGGAAGTTTTTCTGGATAATATCCTGAAGAATATTTTCCAGCTTGGATTCATTCTCTTCGTCACATTCAGGTACACCTATCAAACGTAGATTAGTTCTTTTCACATAGTCCCATATTTCTTGGAGACTTTGTTCATTCCTTTTTATGCTTTTTTCTCTAATCTTGCCTTCTCATTTTATTTTATTGAATTGATCTTTGACCTCTGATATCCTTTCTTCTGCTTGGTCAGTTCAGCTTTTGAAACTTGTGTATGCTTCGTGAAGTTCTCGTGTTGTGTT